GAGAAGAAGGAGAGAGTCTGAGGAGAGAGTCTGAGGAGAGGAGGAGAGAGAAGAAGGAGAGGAGGAGAGAGAAGGAGGAGAGGAGGACGGAGGAGAAGGGGAGTCAAACCACAGAGAGGATGACGGAGGGAGAGAAGAGATAAACACCTTTATAAAACCTGAGGTAAGATGATCATCTATCTTCACACGACACGTTCAGTTTCAAACACGTTAACATCTAAATACAGTCAAACTAATCTTCTCTTCTCTTCTCTTCTCTTGTCTTGTCTTGTCTTCTCTTCTCTTCTCTTCTCTTGTCTTCTCTTCTCTTGTCTTCTCTTCTCTCCTCTTCTCTTCTCCTCTCTTCTCTTCTCTTCTCTTCTCTCCAGCTGACACACTTCATTTGTTTCTCATGTCAAAAGTTAATGAACAAACTTCAATCAATTAATCACTGATCTAATGAGGAAAACCCTCGGGATCATTTCTTTCACCTCGGGGGATTTCAATAATGGTTCAGTAAGTTGCTGATGAAGGTTGTGCTTTGAAACTCATTCTCATGAGCAGAGAATGAAAAACATTTTTCTCTTATACCTTCACCATAATTCTTTTGTTTTATTGCCCAGCTCTGATAATCGAAGTGTTTATTGAAGTGTTTGGCTGCACCACAGATACATCTAGATTTTAAAGATAAATTCATACACGATAACATCTTTTATCATTTACTTTTCACAAATATAAACATATAAACCTTGTGAATGAAACTACACAATAATACTTCATTAGCCAAAAACCCGTTATCGGGCCTCAACTGGACGATATTCTCCACGAGAGGAGTCACGCGACAAAATATGTAATATTCACGATATCAATTAACGTCAGCTGATGATTGTCAAAGTGTGAGTGAGATCATTTTCCATTTTTTTCTTTAAATAGATTTGAACTCGCTGATGGATTCATTGGAAACTGTGTGAAACCCCCAACTAGGCCCAAAAGTCCCTTCAGACAAAGATTAAAATGACAATTAACTCATCGACGACTCCACTTGTGCACTTTCAGGGGTTGAACAGCGTTGCAGCCAAATCCGATATAACTGAAGTCAATGGTGACCAATTTTTAAATGTTAAGAATATACAAAATACAAAAACACTGTATTATCTGTTTGGATTTGACTTCACGGTCTGAGTCAGTGTTGGAAAACCCCTGTTCACAAGACAGAGATGTGAAACCAGGGACTCCAGGGAAGCAGCCGTTCAGACACTGTCCACAAGCGCTTTGACCCACAAAAGACTCCTCGTCTCCTTTGTCGTTGAACCCAGACTGATTTCATTTGATAAACGGAGAGCGGGTCGGTCGGGGTGAAACGTGAGTGGGATGAATTACTGCTGTAATTCCCTCGATCGCGATCTGAGGCGGATTCCATGTTTGAAACTCCGGCACTAACGGTGAAGCAGAGTGGTCGTGATCATTCGAGGGTTAAAAGTCTGCTCGACTGATGCTGAGTGTGAGATGACGAATTTCAAGGCGGTGACAGGAAAAAAATGTTTTTAATGTTCACTGGGCGCGTCGCTCTCTTGTCATTCCAGCCCACACCTGAACAGTGTGTACATGTGTCGTGCATGAGTGTGTATTTGTCGGGGAAGAGGTAGACGAACAAGTTATTTTGCATAATGGGGAAGCGACAGGACGCTTGTCATTAAAATTGCATTGAAATCATGTGCAGGCTTCACTTCCTCTCTCACATCTCTGGACCTGACACGGTGTCGGAGCTGAAACAGGTTTTAAAAGTGTTTGTCTATTCTTCTGTTTCAGCAGCGAGCCTCTCAGGATGGATCGGCGCTCGCCGAAGGAGTTGCAGTTTGAGAGGACGAGTAAAGTGGCAGCTTAAAGGATCAATGTGAACGTGAGTCTCCGTCCTCGACTTCGTCGTCATCCATTTTCTTGATTTCTTCTTCACTGTAGGCGGAGGAGGTATCGACTCTCACCGGCCAGATTGTTTAGAATTGATTTAACTTGTCACGAGGTCAAAGGTTGAAGTTTTCCTGATACGAAGACGTCGACGCTTCACTTCCCTGGTTTGTGTTTATCATGAAGGAAAGCTGACGAGGGAACAAGCGAGACGACAGGTCGATAGACGACGAGGATCCCTCGCGCTCGCTCAGGTCACGATGCCAGACGAGCCGCAGGGTTTCCAGGACAGGGGGAGGCCCGGAGAACTGGCGTCTTCAGTGCCGGACGCCGTGGTGGTCGCCGGTGATGGCGAGGGCAAAATCCGCGGAGGCGAGATCCTGGAGCTCGATGAATTCAGGAAAACAACACATGTTGACAGTGACGTTTACATGTTGAAAAGAAACAACAGTTTGGAAAAACAGTCGGGGCTGAGTGAATCAGAGGTGTCCGTAGAGGTGGGAGTGGTGAAAACAGCTCAGGCCCCCGAACCTCTCGCGGTCGCTACGACGCAGCAGCCGTCGGATCACGATGGCCACGTCAGCTCGTCGTGTGACGGGCTGCAAACACACAACGCTGCTCCATCGCAAACAAACGTCTGCAGCGACTCCGACTACAGCAGCAAAACATCCAGCCCTGGATACACGAGCACTAGTTTCAACACGGACCTCTGTGGCGACGAGTCGCCTGAGCTCGGATCCTCGCTTGAAAAGGCGAACGCCGTCTCTACGGTCGGTTCGGACGACAAAAACGGCCCCGAAGGGGAAACGCCATTCTGCGAAAGCCCGTCTGCTTTCCACGACTTTTCAACCAAAGTCTCCCAAACAAGGGACAGCTTCGACGTCGGGTGGGACGAGGCGGACGGAGACGAGGACGGGCGGAGCACCAGGTCCAGGCAGAGCGTGAAAGAGGGGGTGTGTTGCTGCTATCACGCGGTCCACAGGGCCTTCCTGCGCTGCGTGGAGGAGACCCCGGCCATGCTGTCCGGACTGGTGCTGTCTTTGGTCTTCTGCGTGGCCATCATCGTCCTCATCCCCACCACAGGGAGGGTGAGTCACCTCATAAACCAAAGCTCAACGTATTCTGTGTTTCAGATTATTCCTTAACGTTTGGCTGCTTCACGATCTCGTCAAACTTTTGTCTTTGTTGTGTTTTGAGACCCCCC